ACCACTTTCTGACGAAGAAGGAAGATTTCAGCCTTCAATGTGAAGTACAACTCAGTTTAAGGAAAATCAAAATCCGCTCAACAGGGCAAATAGACAGCATAATGGTAAATGGAGAAAAGAAATCAAGAAGGATTTCATCTTGCTAGGATCCACTATCAATACTCATGGAAACAGCATTCAAGTGATAAAAAGATGCTTTGTATTGGATAAATCTGATGCACAAGAGCTGTTGAGAGTGTTGAAAAGCAAGAATGTTACTTTGAAGACTAAGATGCGCCTGACCCATGCTGTGGCATTTTCAACTGCCTCATATACATGAAAAGGTTGGACATTGTATACGGATGACCAAAGAAGAAGCAGTGTATGTGCTGGTGAGAATATTTAAGTATCATGGACTACCAAAAAGGCACACAACTCTGTCTTAGAAGTATGACCAGACTACTATTTAGAGGCAAGGTGGGGAATAGCTAGTGTTACATAATTGGGACATGTCAGGAGAGGGCAGGCCCTTAAGAAGGCGATCTTTATTGGGAAAGTACAGGGGCAGCAAAAGAAGACCCTCAACAAGATAGATTGACACAGTGGCTACAATGGGCTAAAGCATAAAACCATTGTGAGGATGGCATCAGACTGGACAGAGTTTCATTGTGTTATGTATATGGTTCCTATGGGTCGATCTGACCCGATAGTACCTTCACAACAACAACATGCTAGGAAAGAAAATTTCAGAGAACGGCATTATAGTCATTGTCATGAAGGGCATCCAAGTGCTATCTTGAAGGACAGTGCTGTTTGTGATAGGATAATGTCTTGACACATGCCAGCAAATCAAACCATACCAGGCAATACAATTATTATCCAAATCTATGCACTAAATCTAGTGATGAAAAATTAAAGAATCCTACCAGCATCTTTAGCCTAAATTTGATATAGACTGAAGATGTATTGATAGTTATTGGCTCTTAGAATGCATAGTTTGAAGCAAAGAGGAAGGAAATGTAGTTGGAAAATGTGGCCTTGTTGGTAGACACACACCTGGAGATTCCATGATAGGATCTTTCCAGAAAAGACATTTTTCATAATAAGCACCTCTATTCCACAACATAAAGGCAACAATGCACGTGAACATTTCAATATGGAATACAGAGAACAAATTTGCCTACATCATTGGGAAGACATGAGCAAGAAGCTCAATATGAGCAGCCCAAAAGAGGCCAGGGGCTGACTGTGGATCAGATCATCATATATAAAAAATGCAAAAGACCTTAAGAAGACAGGACACGAAGACAAGGTAAAAGAGGATGTCAGAAGAGACTCTGACACTGTTGAGTTTTCAGGGTAGCTAAAGAAATGATGAAGCAAAAGAGCTGAACAGAACATTTCAACAGGCAGCTAGAGAAGACAAAGTGAAGTATTATAATGACTTTGCAAAAAACTTAAGAGTCAGTAAACCAAAAAGGAAGAACTCGGCATACATCAACCTGAAATAGCTAAAACTTAAGTCCCTCAAAGATGCTAAAACCACCATTTGACTCATTGTAAATTAAAGAGAGTAAGTTCTTCAGGGGGAATTAGAGTAATAGAAACACTACTTTCACAAGTATATAGACCAAGATGGAGAATATATTAAGAATTAATATCTTCACATTTTCTATTTATTTTTAGAAAGTCTATGATTTCAGAGCAATATTCTATTACTTACACTCATATCCACTTACTCAAAATTTTTGAAATTGACTTGACAAC